ATAAAAAAAACATGGCGTATGAAACCCCTATACTTCATACCTATACAAAACACATTAAAATCGTTGGTTTATGTCATATTAATCTAAATAATGTTTATACTATAAGATGATTTGTAGTTTTATTTATTATTTTATTATTCAATTTGAAATATTTAAATATTATTTATAAAGTAATTTATGGTAATTTTCCAAATTAATTGCCGAGATTCGCTTCTATTTGCCTATAATTTTCCATATATTTAAATCTATTAATATAAGGATTAACATAATTCATTTTTAGAAATACTTTCCCGCCAATTTCATTAATTATTGACTAAAAATAGTAAATTAACAAAATCTCTATTTATTAGCATACCTTTTTATCCAATTTTTTTTAGGAATATAATAAAAATATGGAATCAAAATCAAAACAAATCTAAGAAATACACTTACCATGCTTAATACACTTAATTTAAGAAATACACTTAACATACATATTTTTAAAAAAAATTAAAACACAATATAAAACATTTAATTAATAATTGTCAATTAAAGATTTTTTTAAGAATCAATCATATTTCTAATAATTGTTAGAAATAATATATATATATATATATATATATATTAGTATTTACATGAAAGTAACATATGTGTTAATCCTATATAATAAGGATTAACAGAAATCAAATTTAGAAACAATTCCCCACTACTTTCATTAATTATCTCTTAAAAATAGTAAATCGGATTTTTTTTTCTTTTTTTATTAATAACATCCAATACTTTTATATTGGTAAACAATAAGGAATCAAAATCTGAATAAATCTCATATTTTCCAAACAATTTAGAAATCCGAATGTAAATCCGAATAAATCTCCAAGAAATATCATGATTTGTATATATCATGATTTTATAAATCTGTTCAAAATTTTCTTTGCATGAATCTGAATCATAATTCATTCAACCTATTATTATATTATTAAATTATTAAATTACTTGAAACCGTATGCTAAGATTTGTATATATCATCTTTTCACCAATTAGACTTTTGTCTTCATTATCGATTTGAAAAGGAAAATGAATTTCATATACCTTATCGGTTTTGATAATACAATGTTATAATCATTATCATTATTTATTTTAAAAGATAGTGTTTTTCATTTATTTGATTTCAAAATATGAAAAAAAAAAATCATAGTTTAGGTCTCTTTTTATTTATGCATTTACACAAATTAATTTAAAAACTCTAATAACGATTGGCAACAAAATTTGTTATATATTGATTCAAACAACTAATTAATAAAAGAGTCCATCATTCATGAAATTAAAAAATAATACACGATCACTACATTTCAAAGATTAAGTTTTTTAGATAAACATTCATTTATATTGTCACGACGATAAACAAGAGTGAGTGTCAATCTTATAATTTTGATGATTTCAACTGCTATATTTCCAATGGTTTTTTTTACCGTAGGAATTTCCGTTGGAATATGTAAATTTCGTTGGATTTTTTTTTTCACCCCGTTGAAAAATCTAACGTTGGAGTTGTCAAAATCCAACGAAAATTCCAATGAATAATTTATTCATACGGAATATTTTTGTTGGAATTTCCGTTGGAATCCATTGAAAATTCCCAACGGAAATAATAGTATTTAAATATCCGTTGGAATTGTCGTTAGAATAATTTTTTTTCTAATAGATTTCCATTGGAATTTTATCATTTTATTGTAGTGTGCCCAATAATCAAACTAATAATGTTGTTTACAATTTGGTTTTTAATAACATATAATTTTTCATACTCAAACATTTTATGAGTATTTTTCGCTCAAAACATTAATTACCTACTATAGATGGAAATAATATAAAATGATCTAAATAAAAAATAAATCATTAATTGAATAATTTTCATATAACTCGATTTTCGATTTGTGTTTGTTTTAATAATTTTTTAGTTTTTTTATAATTACGTTAATAGTGGTTTTGTAGGCCAAAATTATGGAAATAATTATATAGCTGATTTTGGAACTCTTATTTATCAAGGATAACAGATTTATTAGAATCATTGATTTGGATTAGCATATATGTTACATACACTCAAAAAAAAAAACAATGTTATAGTAATATTTATATTTACATGGCGTCAATTTTGGAATTCTCATTTGTGAGGATTCTTT